TCACTGTCGCACCGTGGACCGCCGAAGGTCTCGGCCCCTTCCCCGCTGCAGTTGTCGCTGTGACTTGCAGCAGTTGGAAGGTGGCTGCAATCCACTTGCAATGCACTTGCAGGTTGGGCGAGCAACGACATATGTACATGTACGCCCTCCGCGGTCTTGCCTGCACGAACGTCCGCGTTGACACGCACTCCAGGGGAAGCTAACCGCGTACGTGTACATATGTTGCTGGCCTCTGACAGGTGGGTTGCATGTCCGCCTGGTTGCTCCTAGCTGGGAGCGCGACTTCCTCAGACTCAAGTCGGCGGCGCGCGAGGGGGGAAATGAGAAGGAGAAGGCCTTCTCAGAGGGCGGCGGGGATCCTCAGAAGCCCTCGCGCCTTCTGCGGAGCTTCCGATGTCTTTGGGGAAGGCTTGCAAAACTTCTCAGAAGGCCCGGAGACCTCCGAGCTTTCTCAGAAGGCCCGCACCTTCTCACTTTCCCCCCGGGCGCGCCGCCGATCAAGAGCCGCTGGGCGAACTTGCAGCCCTCCTGCGGGCGTCTTGCAACTGGGCTGCAACCGCCTTGCAACTGCTGCGGCTTGCTGCAAGTCGAACCGACCACTGCAGCAAGACTGGCTCTCCACCCTGATGGGCCAGAAAACAAACGACACCACCCCACCTACGGCCCCAGGGGGCTTAGCGTGTACCAGGAAATCTGGCGTGTGCTTTTGCGCGGTATCAGGTACGGCCCCCGATGGGCCGTAGCGCAACATGGAGGGCCGCAGGTGGGGTAGTGTCGTTTGATTTTTGCTGGTCGATTGCAACTGCTGCAGCCTGTTGCAAGTCGAACCGACTACTGCAGCAGGACCCGCTCTACACTATGAGAAGAAAAAATACAAAAACATAAACTTTTGGCGCTCCGCGCGGATTTCTTGGATCTGCACTGGACCCCCCTCCCTGGCGCGCGGAACGCGCCAGGGGCGGCGCCGGAGGCGCCGCCAGGGCGGGGGCCCAGCGCGGATTCAAGGAATCCGCGCGGAGCGCCAAAAGTTTATGTTCATGACGCCTTTTCTTCTTCGACTGCTGCAAGCCGAACCGACCACTGCAGCAGGACCCTCTCTCCGCTCGGAGCTCAGGTCGAGCATGTCCTCCTGTCCTCCTAAAGACGGTTTTTGGACGAAGACCTAAAACATAAAAAACAAGAAACAACAAAAATAGCAAAAAACAACAACAACAAAAAAAAGAAAAAATGGCGAAGCCGCCGTCGTGGACCCCATCGGTGCGCCGGCCTGGACCTCCCGCTCCCCTCTCGCCACGAGGGGCAGGCCCGCCGCCCTGCCGCCGGCCCTGCCGACCGGCCCGCGCTGCGGGGTGTCCGACCCCAACCACAGGAGGAGCTTCAGCGCCATAAACCTTTGGCTCTCCGCGCGGATCTCGTGGACCATCGCTGGACCCCGCTCTCCGCGCGGATCTCTTGGACCATCGCTGCACCCCCCCCCCCCTGGCGCGCGGAGCGCGCCAGGGGCGGCGCCGGAGGCGCTGCCTGGGGGGCCCAGCGCGGATCCAAGAAATCCGCGCGGAGCGCCAAAAGTTTGTGCTTATGTGGGTGTCTCTTCTTCGTGACCAAGCCTCCAGGTTGGTTTGGGAGGTCGCCGCGGCGATCGCGGCGGTCACAGATCGGGGCAAGACTTCTGTGCCCAGGGGTGGTATGCCCCATCCCGGCCCCCCCCCCGCTCTGCGATGCAGACGTGGCTCATGCTTGAGCATCTAGCGACAGAGACCTGCCAGTGTGCGCCCAGCAGGGGCAGCCGTGGTTTGTTTGGTCAGGGGTCGGTTATCACGCAACCAAGCCCCCCCCCCCCGACCTTACCTGCGCCCCGACCTTTCTGTGCCCCGCTCGGTGGCTCCGGCGGCCCGCGGTCACCTCAGCGGCACGATGGAGCCGCCGGGCCGGCCGAGGCAGCCCCCCACGAGGAGCTCCTGGGCGCTGTGCTGCGGGCGCGGCGCGGGCTGGGCAGAGAGAAAGCGCGGCACGCCGACTGGGGCACTGCCTTCGGCGTCCTCCTCGTCGTTATCCCGCTGGCCTTGCTCCTCCTCCTCCTCCTCCTCCTCCCCCTCCTTCCTCACTCCTCCCCCTCCTCCACCCACTCCTCCTCCTCCTTCCTCCTGCTACCTCCTGGCCTCGCTCCTCCTCCTCCTCCTACTCCTCCTCCTGCCTCCTCCTCCTCCTCCTCCTCCTCCTCCTTCTCCTCCTCCTCCTCCTCCTCCTCCCCCTCCGCCTGCCTCTGCTGATGCTGCGCCTCCTCCCCGTCCTCGTCTCATTCCTCCTCCCCCCCATCTTCCCCGCCAGTGGTCCACGCTCGCCACCATCCGGCGTGCTCCGCCCACCCAGTGGAGGGGGCGTGCCTCCCCGCGCGCGGCCAGGCCCAGGCTCGGGGGACTGGCCGGGGGGTGGAGGCAGCAGAGAGAGGGGATGGCCAGAGGCGCAGCACGAGTACGAGCGACAGCAACCACGGGGCCGCCATTGCCGCCGAAACCCCGACTGGAGAGCCCCCCCTTGCTTGGGGGGGGCTCCTCCTCCTCCCCTCTCTCGCTGCCCCTCCTCCTCCGCCTCCTCCTCCTCCTCCTCCTCCTCCTCCTCCTCCTCCTCCTGTTATCCCTCCCGTTTTCTCGTTTCCTCCTGTTGCTCCTCATCGCGTCGCCACTTTGTCGGTCTCCCTCTCCTCGGGGGGCGCCACCCCCCCGCTTGGCTGTGGCGCGCCCTGCGTTTCCAGCTCCCGCGCCCCACAGCGATGCGCTGCTGCTGGGGAGAGGGGCGGGTTCGAGGGTTTCAGTCATCAACAAGACAGCCCGCAGTCGAGAGTCACGAGGGAGGGCTGGAGGAGGGAGGACGTGGGGTAGGAGGAGGAGTGGGAGGAGGGGGAAGGAGGAGAGGGCGGGGGAGGAAGCTGGGGGGAGGGGGGGGACCATCGGCGCGTGACCTTGTATAAAACCAAGCCCCTACGTTTTGCCTTCCAACGCTCTTCACGACCCCGAGATGGCACTAAGACTGCCCAAGACCGCGCCAAGAGGGCTGCGGCATGCCCCACAATCAACCCCAGACGGTCCGAAGATCCCCGACGAGGCCCCAAGATGTTCCCGAGGCCTCCATGAGGAGCCCCTTTAGAGCCCCCCAGGCCTTGAAGGCCAAGAAAATCGCGTGTATGGTCGTCCCCGTGTTCTGCTTCAGGACCGGCCCTGGGCCGATTGGGAGTACAGTCGGAACGTTGACCTAAGGAACCCTAAATAAGGAACGAGGGCCCTTTTTTCCAAAGTTAAAGTTCGATTTCCGATCGGAAACATAAGGAGAACCTGAGGCAAGCTGTGAAACACTTAAGGAACGCGGAGCCCCTCTCCAACGAAAAGGGTTCCTTCTTCAGGGCCCCGACTGTAGCGTTGCGTTACAGGCCTCTGGAGGCAGAGAAGGCATGAGAAGGTCCTCGATGCGCGAGGGGGCAGGGAACAGGGAGAGGCGAGGGACGAAGGGGAAGGAAGGGAGGGAGGGGTTAGCGGAGCAGCGGGAGGAGGAAATTCGCTGAGAATTCGCTACACCCCACACTGTGGGGGGAGGAGGAGGAGGAGGAGGAGGAGGAGGAGGAGGAGGAGGAGGAGGAGGAGGACGAGGAGGAGGAGGAGGAGGAGGAGGAGGAGGAGGAGGACGAGGAAACGATATTGCAATAAACTCTCCCTCCAAGCTCCCTCCTCATAGGCCCCTGCAAATCTTCATGTTATACTGAAGGAATTGCCCCGTTGGAAAACAATCGCCTGAAAATCCTGCACTGCGACAGAGCCATTCCGGGGACTTCATCGCCGCGATTCAACGTGACTGTTGCGTCTTGACGATCCTGAATCGTACCAGAACACAGTTCCTTGGATTCAACACCGCAACACAGTGTAACTGTTACGCCCTGACAGTCCTCCATCCAACCGAAATACTATTCCTCGTGCGCTAACAAAAAGATTCCGTGAAATTGGTGTGACCTTCTGAAACGGATAAGCGCGGCGCTAGAGCAAGAACCACATGTTGAAAACCACCTGCCCTCCATCCGTGAAACCCTTGCATCTGTTGTAAGACGAATGTGCGCGGCGCTAAGACGATACCAACATTGAAAACCACCCGCCCTTCGTCCGCGAAACCCTTGCAAACACTTTGAAACAAATGCACGCGGCGCTAATGCGAGAACCACGTGTTGAAAACCATCCGCCTTCAATCCGTGAAACGTTCGCAAATGTTTCAAAATGAATGCGCGCGGCGCTAGCGCGAAGGCCACACTTTGAAAACCAACCGCCCTCCATCCGTGAAACTCTTGCACACGTTGCGAGCGAATGTGCGCGGCGCGAATGCGAGAGCCACATTTTGAAAGCCATCCGCTCTCCATCAGTGAAACCCTTGTAAATGTTTAAAACGAATGTGCGCGGCGCTAACGCAAGAACCACAATTTGACAGCCAACCGCCCTCCATCCGTGAAACCCTTGCACATGTTGTAAAACGAAATGTGCGCGGCGCTAAGACGATAGCCACATTCTGAAAGCCACCCGCCCTCCATCCGCGAAACTCTTGCAAATGTTTGAAACGAATCAGCGCTGCGCTAGAGCAAGGGAACCACATTTTGAAAACCACCCGCCCTCAATTTGCGAAACTAAATTCTTAAGTCTCAGGCGAAACGCCCGGCTCGCCCTACCGGCCGGCCTCGAGGTGTGACAGGGAAGAGTCATCTGCAAGGAAGAGGGATGGAAGAGGAGGGACGGGATGGGCGAAGCAGGAGGGGAGGAGGGAAGCAGGAGGAGGTGGGAGGTGGAGAAGGCAGGGAAAAGCAGCACGACGACGACGACGATGACGACGACGACGACGATGACGACGACGACGACGACGACGACGACGACGACGGCGGCGACGACGGCGGCGACGACGACGAACACGACGGCGCAGCGGTCCCCGGCGACCAGCTCCAGCCGCGACAGCCGCGCGGCCCCGCCCAGGCGGTGGCCCGCGAAGCCGCCGAGGGGCGCCCAGAACTCCGGCAGGGGCCAGCCGGGCGTAACCCTGGCCGGGGAGGCTCGGGTACAGACACAGGGCGTGGACGGTGGTCCTCGCTTCCTTACTTTCTTCACCTGCATGCCTTCAGGTGCCTCGGACGGCCTCGGGCCTTCTGAGAAGTTCTCGAGGCTTTCCCCGCCCCGCCGCCTTCTGAGAAGGCCCGCCCCCTCTCACTTCCCCCCCCGCTCGCCGCCGAGGCATGCTTGCAGCAAGGTTTTCGGCCGTGTTCGGCCTCCAGGGGCCCCCGCTTGCCCCTGGTACCATCAAAAAACTACCCAGGATGAAAAACCGGCCCTCAGGAAAGGGTCGGGACTTCTGGCGACTCCGTATTGGAAGAAACAAAATATCGGATGTCTGGGCGGGCGAGCTCGTCGTCGTTGGACGCCGTCCGCATCAGCCGCCCTCGTCGTCGTCCTTCTTCTCCTCCTCCTTCCCCTCCTCCTCCTTCCTCCTCCTCCTCCTCCTCCGACCTCCTCCTCCGCCTCCTCCTCCTCTCCTCCACCATCCTCTCCTCCTCCTCCTCCTCCTCCTCCTCCTCACTCCTCCTCCTCCTCCTCCTCCTCCTCCTCCTCCTCCTCCTCCTCCACTCCTCCTCCCTCCTCCCCTCCTCCTCCTCCTCCTCCTCCTCCTCCTCCTCCTCCTCCTCCTCCTCCTCCTCCTCCTCCTCGCTCCTCCTCCTCCTCCTCCTCCTCCTCCCACCTCCCCTCCTCCTTCCCCTCCTCCTCCTCCATCCTCCTCCTCCTCCTCCTCCTCCTCCTCCTCCTCCTCCCTCCCTTCCACCTCCTCCTCCCTCTACTCCTCCTCCCTCTACCCTCCTCCTCCTCCTCCTCCTCCTCCTCCTCCTCCTCCTCCTCCTCCTCCTCCTCCTCCTCCTCCCCACCTCTCCTCCTCCTCCTCATCCTCCTCCTCCCCTCCTCCTCCTCCTCCTCCCTCCTCCTCCTCCTCCGTCCTCCTCCTCCTCCTCTCCTTCCTCCTCCTCCTTCCCCTCCGTCCTCCTCCTCCTCACTCCTCTCCTCCACCTCCTCCTCCTCCTCCTCCATCCACCTCCTCCCCCTCGCTATTCTTTCTCCTCTCCTCCATCCTTCTTCCTCCTCCCTTTCCTCATCGTCCTCCTCCTCCTCCTCCTCCTCCTGTTCGTCCCCCTCCTCCTTCTACTCCTCCTCCTCCTCCTCCTCCTCCTAATCCGTGTTAGACTAACATGCTCCTCCTCCTCCTTCTCATACTACTCTCATCAATATCAGCATCATCATCATCAGCAGCATCAGCATCAGCATCATCATCAGCATCAGCATCAGCATCATCATCATCATCATCATCATCATCATCATCATCTTCATCATCATCATCGTCATCATCATAATCATCATCATCACCATCATCACCATCAGCATCATTATTCTCATCATCATCATCATCATCATCATCGTCCTCATCATCATCAGCAGTAGCATCATCATCAGCATCATCAGCATCAGTGTCATTAAATCTCCTTTGCGGCGGTGGTGATCCAAACCTTGAAGGCGTGGGCACGTCGCGCCCCCAATTGGGAAATCAGTTTCGAGTTTCGGTTTCTGCATTCCCCACCCCACTCTCCTCATCAGCTGTTCATTGCATTGCGCCCAAGATTGATGAGGATAGGTGGATGATGATTTTTCCGTTGGCTTCAGCAGGTCCTCTCCCAAGCGGGGGAAGGAAGGCAGGCCTCCCCCCGAGCCCGCTCGAGGAGGCTAGCGTACAAGGTCCCAGTCAGTGATGTCTGGCCACACCCCTTGGTGGGCTGTCCATCCCTGCCGGTAGCGGTCGGTCACGTCTCCCCGCGACGCTTTGTCAATGGGGTTATCTTCACTCGTCACCCGCTCAATCCAGGCGTGCAGCTCTCTCTCGCGGAACATTTCCCATGTCCGGTGCGTGATCACATTGAGGGACGTCACTGAGCTGTTGCCTTTGATGAGCGTGCTCTTGGCTGTCTCGTTGTCGATGAAGGCCAGCACTATGCCCCCTCGAAGCTCTGGCCATGTGTTCATCGCCAGCATGGGTCCTACTGCCTCGATCTCGTTGATGTCGATGTCTTTGCTGCCCTGCTTCCGCGCCTCCCGCCACTCCGGCGGCACCCTGGCGCGAGTGACCCGTGGCGCCCAATCGCTCTGTCGGGGCCGCCACCAGCCCGCCGCCACCCAGCCGGTTTCTTCACCATCCGTCACGATGATGTGAAGGTCCATGCGTTCCGGCGAGTACGGGATCGGCTTCCCTCCAGCGATTTTGACCACGCGTACCCAGAACAGCAGAGATGCCCGCAGCGCTGGGTTGAGTCGCAGGTGTTGCTTGTTGTGATGTCGCTCTGCGAGGGGACGGAGCGCCGCCGCTCCAAACCGCCCAAACTGGAACGAGCGCGCCCACCCCAGCTGTCCTCGGAGCGTGCCTGCCTCCGAGCTCGTCATTGAACCACTGTCGAGGTGGCCGTGTATCCGAGCGAGGATCGCCTGCAATTTGGCTGGGTGGAGGCAATTATGGGGTTCCCCCGCGCCAAGGTAACGCAGGCCTCCCAACAGCTTGAATGGATCAGCCGGTGGTGGACTTTTCTCCATGTCGATGCGCCACCCCACCAGGGTGTTCAGCTCAATCCAAAGACGGTGCGCTTGCTGTGCTAGTCTGGCTGGCTCCACTCCCCACGCGTCGTCCGCGTAATGGGAGATCGCCAGCATCAGCATGGATCTGCCGATCGCCACCATGGCGGCAGGGTCCCGGACGTAGTTGAATTGCGACAGCGCGCCTCCGAACGGCTGTCCGTCTACGTCTACCACTCGGACCTTCTGTTCGTGTGGGTCCCACACAATCTCCAAGGTTAGATGCGTTCGGTCTGGGTCTTTTGGGCTTTGGCGGAAAGCCATCTCGTAGTCCACTCGGCATCCCATGAGCGGCACGTGGTCGCCGAACGTTTCTTTCCACCATCTCGTGACGGCCCACAGCTGGACCAAGTCCTCTGGGGTATACCGCTGAGCCAAGTCGACTGCGTCGTTCCCGCCCGAGCGCTTGAAGTCGTTGATGGGTCGGGCCGTCCACTCGCCAGTCTCCTTCAGCTCCCACTTGGGGAATCGTGGAGTGAGGCAAACTTCGTGCAAGTCGAATTCGTCGAGGTCGCGGATGGTGGCGTATCCTCGCTGGACTTCTTTCTGGACCTTGTCCCAGACTCTCTCGTCAAGCTCCGGATCGCGATTTGCTTTCACCGACCGTATCATCTCTAGATTCCAGTCCCGTGGGTTCGCCGCCCAATGGGTCAACGATGTCAACGCCCGGGATTGCTGCGGCGGATACAACCCTGTAGTCAGCATGCCTGTGCCGAGCACCGGGCGCCCCTGCATTAACGACTTCATGTATTCAGCGTCTTCCGTGTACCCTATGGTCTGGAGGAGTGCTTCCAGCAGTGGCAGGTGCAGGTGTCCAATCACGCGTCGGACACGTGGGTGCAGCCCTTCCACGTACCGCGGCCTGTACCCCTTGGGTGGGATAGGGCATTCATCAGACGGCCCTCTGAAAACAAACTCGTGCCAAATCCTGTCTTTCTTACGCTGTCCACGGGCGCGTTCCCCCTCGCTCTTATCCGCAACCGGGAAAATGAACCGATCCGCACCTTGCGGACGGTTCCGGGCCTCTGGGCCCGCGGCATCAATCCTTTCCCCGGCGTGCATCTGAAACCGCGTCAGAACATGCGAGCTCCCAGAGTTTCGTAATCCGGGCGCCCTCCGGAAAGCTCTCGGCGAGGGGCAGTTCAGACAGAGGCGAAGACGGACATGGTCCGGACCACAACCAGACCTCCGCGGCAGGGGGGGCAGGGGAGGGAGGGGGGGGGAGAGGGGCGGGACGGTGGACCAGCACGCGGGATTGGATGCGGAACCGGCCGCTAGGTGATCCCCCCAAGTTGGCGCCACCGCCCCCCCCGCTCTCCGCCGCGACGCCCTTCCCGGGCGGGCGTGCTGGAGGCCGGCGGTCGGCTCCCTGATCGTCGTCGCCTTCGCCCCCGTCGTTGTCGCCACCCCGTCGGCGTCCCCCCCCCCTCCTGTTCCCTTTTCCCTCGCACCCCTTGTCCCCCGGACAACTGCGTTCCATGCGTCCAGGGACCGCGCCGCCAGAGCGCCCGAACCGTCTGGGGGGAGGTGCGGCGACGGGGGTCGGGCGGAGGTGGCGAATTCATAAACCCCCCTGGCATTCAGGAAGGGGGAGGGGGGGGGGGGGGCGGCATTGCCCTACGGGGGGGGACGGAGAACGGCGGTGTGCCCTTTGAGGCACCTGGAGGTAGAGGGACAGCGGGTGTTTGGTTGTTGCGGCTGCTCGCCTGCATTTGTGCGCATATAATGTGTACGTGTGTGTGGGGGGGAAAAAAAAACAACAACAACAACAAAAAAAAAAAAAAAAACAAAAAAAAAAAAACTCCCCCCTTTCCCCTCCGCCCTGTGGGCGTTGCCGTTCCATTGTCTCCTCCCTTCGTAGTGCTCATGCCCCCCTCTCCCTTTAGTTTCGTTTCCCCGTCGGCGCCCTGGCGGGCCGTTCCTCGAGGTCCCGGGCGAGCTGCCGGATGTCCTGCATGATGCTCTCCCGGAGGGCCATGATCTCCCCCTCCGTGCTGGCGGCGATGAACTCCATCGCGTTCGCCAGGCGCTGCGGCAGGGGAGGCGGCGCCTCCAGCGGGTGTTTCACCCGGGTCATGTCAGCAAAAAACTGCTGCGGCCCCGCCCCGCCGGGGACTAGGGGCAGCCGCACCTGCCCCGTCGGTTGGTCGCCCGCGGCAGCCACGCGGGCCAGCCTGGCTGGGTCCCGGCCGCGCGACGGCACTGTCGTTGCCGCGCCGCCAGTGTCTGAGTCAGCGATACCACTGCTGCCATGAGAGCAATCAGCTGTCTGCTTCCCTGGGTTCGACTCCCCCCGGGTAGCGTCACTCGCTGCCTGCTCTCGCCCGGCCCCAGGGTACCTCCGCACCACTTGGCACGTTGCCGCGGGCCCCGGGCTGCATG